TTCCCTCTAAGCTGAGTTAGTGTGAGCTGGCTCACAGGGTTTTAGCCCCCAGCTCACACATTTTTTTCTTAGCTCAGGAAAGATGGCTCCAGAGCAAACTAATTTATACAGCAGCCAAATGGCTTGCTCACAACTTTAATGCCAGTAGCTCACAAATTTTTTGCTCACAAGACTCCAAAGCTTAGAGGGAGCATTGATCACAAGTGCAGCAACCTTGCTTTCTGGACACCCAATGGCAGGCCGAGCCCTGACACTGCAGGAGTCGAGGCAGATGTCCCCCCTCGGGCCATTAAAGCCGAGGCTCTTAAGTAACCAGGCAAGTTAAAAGGCATCCCTTCCACTGGCCAGCAAGGCCCAGCGGTTCCACACTCAGGAATCCAGGGAAGCCGGGCAAAACAGAACACCCGGCTGGAAGGCCACAGGCACGTGCAGGCAGGGAAGTTTCTGAATCTACCTACCATGTCCTGGGAAACTGGGCTAGCCTGGCAAAATGACAGGGAAGGGGAGGAGCCGGAGCACATGCCTCCTGGCAGAGATCAAAAACTCCTTGCTAGCAAAGACACGCTTCTCCTCCCCAGCTGCACCTTCGTCGATGCAAAAAACACATCCACTTTGACACATTCGATCTTGCAGTCCACTCCCAGCCGCTTTTAAAGCTAGGAGGGGCTTCAGATGTTGCTGGCAACTGAGGGGTTGGGGGGGCAGGGAGGGGAGGTGGTACTGCTCAAAAGAAGCAGGAGCCAAGCGGCATGTCCATGTCCAAAGGCCCGCTTGAGGCCAAGAGCCTACTCCCTGGGAAACGCCTTCCCGTAACGCTTCTGCGAGAGCAGGGGCAGATGGAGAGGGCAAAACAAGACCTGGGAAGTGCTCCACCCCTCCCTCTGCCATGCCCCTGAGGCAGGGAGGGCGCCTGAGCCTGGCGGCGGCCACCCCACGGCTTGCCCTCTGGCAGCCACCACACAAATTGCCTGGGCTGGGCCCGGTGACTCCTATCGCACAACGTTCCTGCCGGCTACCACAACTTACCCAATTGTTGCCTGGGGTGGGGGGGCCTGCCCAGGCTGAGCCCGGTGCCTGCTGTCACGTGACTCGCCTGGGCACTGTGGCCTCCCTCTGCTCAGCCTCTGCTTGTGCTGAGCCAGGTCCAAAACTACCAAATCCACTTTTGTTCTAGGGCAGTGATGGCGAACCTTTTAGAGACCGAGTGCCCAAACTGTGACCCAAAACCCACTTATTTATTGCAAAGTGCCAACACGGCAATTTAACCTGAATACTGAGGTTTTACTTTAGAAAAAACAACTTAAATTAACTTAAGATGATCCAAACAAAGTAAGAAAAGCAATCCCAAGTGCTTTCATTTACTTAAAATTATTTGGCAGAGAATTCGACACTTTAATGATGGTCTGGGCCTGGCTGGGGCGATGGCACGCGTGCCCACAGAGAGGGCTCTGAGTGCCACCTCTGGCCCCCGTGCCATAGGTTTGCCACCACTGTTCTAGGGAGAGCTCGAAGGCCATTCAAGCAGCCAGGCTGGGATGCACAGACCATGACCATCCACCCATCTATCCCATCAGCGAGGGAGACCAGGAAGTAACCAAGTTGCTCATTCTCTCAGACCCTTCTAGCCACTGGGAGACTTGAGCATTTCATGTTAACAGCTGGAGATGCAGAGAGCCGGTGTGGGTGTGCTTAATCCTTGGCCAGCTCCATGTTGTGAGAGAGGGAATTCCCTGCTCATGCTTTTCTCCACTTGCCAACTCCACCAAACAGATGACGTTCACCGGGGCGACGTGGGAGGTAAAGCGGTGGACACGGAGACATCCTGCTCTACTCTACCCGTCTGAAGAGTTCAGGGTGGTGAAAACCAGTGAGGATTGTGAGGCACTCCTAAGGGATCTGTCAAGGATGGGCAAGTGGGCGTCAACATGGCAAATGGGGTTCAATGTGGCCAAGTGCAAGGTGATGCACATTGGAGCCAAAAATCCTAACTATAAATACATGTTGATGGGGTCTGAACTGGCAGAGACTGATCAAGAGAGAGATCTTGGAGTTGTAGTAGATAACTCACTGAAAATGTTGAGACAGTGTGTGACTGCAATAAAGAAGGCCAATGCTATGCTGGGGATTATTAGGAAGGGTATTGAAAACAGATCAGCCCCTATATAAATCAATGGTGAGACCTCATTTGGAATACTGTGTGCAGTTCTGGTCACCACACCTTAAAAAGGATATTATAGCTTTGGAAAAAAAGTGCCGAAAAGGGCAACTCGAATACTCGGTACTTTTCTCCCTCTCTCACAATACAAGAACTTGTGGACACTCCATGAAATTGCTGAGCGGTCGGGTTAGAACGGATAAAAGGAAGTACTTCTTCACCCAAAGAGTGATTAATACTTGGAATTCACTGCCACAGGAAGTGGTGGCGGCTACAAGCATGGACGGCTTCAAAAGGGAATTAGATAGGCATATGGAGCAAAGGTCCATCAGTGGCTATTAGTCACAAGGTATAGATAGGGGCTCTGGGGCAAGTGATGCTCTGTCTTCTTGGTGTTTGGGGGGGGTCAACAGTGGGAGGGCTTCTAATGTCCTGGCCCCACTGGTGGACCTCCTGATGGCACTGGTATTTCTGGCCACTGTGTAATACAAAGTGTTGGACTGGATGGGCCTTTGGCCTGATCCAACATTGGCGTCTCTTATGTTCTTAAGAGTCACCCAAATGACAGCCTGGATCCAGAAAGCTGTTAGGAAATGCCAGTTCTCTCACCCACCCCGAAAACTCAGAGGAGTTTGGGGCAAGCCTTAGTTTGCGAGAAATACAAGAGCTCTCTGCCACAATGACTAATACAAAAGAACAGCCAGCGCCCTTCCAGTGAAGCCCTACATCCGAAAAGATTATTTTGATTTCAGGCCAATGAGGGCAGCATCCAAGCAGAAGGGGAAAAAAAGAGTTATGGAAAAAAAGGGGGGGAAAACCCACAGACAGCAACGAGATCACAGTCATATTTTGATGGAGAAACGAGTCATACAGCAAAGCATAAGAACATAAGAGAAGCCAATGTTGGATCAGGCCAATGGCCCATCTAGTCCAACACTCTGTCACACAGTGGCCAGAAATACCAGGTGCCATCAGGAGGTCCAGCAGTGGGGCCAGGACACTAGGAGCCCTCCCACTGTTGCCCCCCCACAGCACCAAGAATACCAAGCATCACTTGCTCCAGCCCACCAAAGCTTTTAAAGTTTGGAGTACACATTTGGAGATGTCGCCCCAAACAAAGAGGAGGTCAGCAGTTCCTGCCTAACTTGTATGATCCCTTCGAGAACACCAGGGAGGTTTGCATCGTCACATAAATAAGTTTCCATCCTGGAGGAAACCAAGTTCTGGCCCCGGTCACACGGCAAAGTTGCCGCGGGAGAGGCACGGATGGTGGGCGGATTATCCGGGCGCGATCACACCCCAACATCTGGGAAGTGGAGCGCACCCGTGGCTTACCGCTGACAATGTGCCTTAAAAAACTAGTACCTCCAAGGTACTAGTAAATGTTTGCCACGAGCTGCCTCCAGACGCCCGTGGTGTGATCGCGCCGGCGCACAGCATTCCCCTCCGGTTCCTCGTTTACCTGCCGGCGCTGAGGGAAGGACCCATGGTGTGCCGCCGGTGCATCTGATTGCGTAATTGCGCATCAAAGTGCGCCGGGGCAATTAGCCACGCCTCCCCCCCGCAATATCTGGCCTGTGTGACCAGGGCCACAGTTTGTTAAAGCTTCTTGTATGCTGAGTACATGATGCTCAAATAAATTCCAAAGGGAAAAAGTCATTTTGAACTTGTCCCTCAATGCCAATTAAACAACAATAAAAAAACTGTCACTCCCGAAACTTGAATGACACCTTTCAGAAAATGAAAGCACAAAGCACCTGTGGATGAGGCCTTAGGCAATGACCTTCCTGTCATGGTAATAATGTGGCCAAGGGTGTTTCCCAACTTTGTGGCCCTCCTCTACAGAATGATAACTAATACCCCACCCTAGGAAGAAAGGCTACATATTGCATTCCCAGTTCCCTAACCTTGGTTGGAGCAGACATCTTGCCAAGCTCATCTGCTCCCAGATAAAGGACTCTCGCATCCCCTAGAGGAGTGCTATCATTTTGGTGCCAATACTTACATCACTTCAGAGAACTGGCTGCCCCCAAGGAAACCATATCTGTCAGTCTTACGGCCTGCCACTCCATTGATTTCAGAATCTGAACCCAGAGAGCTAGCATCATCAGGAAATCCAGGGCCGGTCAAGGACTCCATGGTGCCTGACATAAGACTGACAGACTCCAAGTAGCTCATGGTGTCAGGAGCCGGAGGAGCCTTGGGCCCCGGAGTGCCATGGCTGGGCTGGGAACCCAGGCCTTGGAGTGGTTGTGAAGAGGGTAGATCATGAGGTTCCAAGCCGCCTGGGCCAGTGGGCGAAGTCTTTTCTGGTGGCGAGCCAGGGCTAGGCGCTACCACCACCACTGTCGGCGACATTGGTGGAACTGGGAGGGGCTTCATTGTGGCCTCTGTGGGCAAAGTCAGAGGCGATGGCATCATTCTGTCCTGCGGTGATGATGTCACTGACGTTCCATTGACCGCTGCCACAGTGGACACGGGAGCCGCTGAATTCACCACAGGCACCGTCGCGGTAGCAGATGCATTCCCCCCCGGAGTCCCATCCACAGCGATCTCTCCAGCATCAGATGCCACCTGTACAAGAGAGGCCACATCTCCATTATTCCTGGACACCAGAGACATCTCTATGGTCATCACGGTTGATGTCGTTTCTGTAGCAACACAGGATGCTTCCATCTCTGCGACGGTGGGAGCAGTTGCTTCCGCAGGCTCCACTGCTACCAAGTTGCCTGTTGCCATGGTTGAAGCCAACCTACTGTCCACAGGCTCCACTGAAGCCACAGGATCTGGGCCCAGCCCCTTCAGAGCATGGAGCATGGAGCGGGGGGAATTGTACCGAGGAGGGGGTGATGGAGGGTCCCCAGAGCCAGTCTCCATGACTACTGGGGGTCCCTCCCCCCCGGAGGGGGAAATGCAGCCTAGCTGCCCAGCCAAGGCCTCAGCTTGGGGGGAAGGGAGGGAGCCAGCCGCCCCGCGCTCCCCCCCCTTGCCTGGATAGAAGTACCAGCCGTAGGAGAGGCAGCCACCCCAGCCTGCGCGCGCATCTCCGGGCTCTGCGGCCCCAAACTCAGCCAATGAGCGCCAAAGGAGAAAGTAAGCTCGGCCAATCAGAAAAGAGGAAGGGGAAAGCGGACCAAGAGCCTCGGGGATGACGCGGGGGACTCATCGAGACGGCTCCAATCGGAAGACCAAACGGAAGAGAGTAGGACGCGGTGCACAGCCAATCGGTAACGCGGCACGGGAGATGGCGACGAAAAAGAGGAAGGGCGGTGAGAAGGAACTCAGCAAAAAGAGGGGGGGGGGACTAACGACAAGCGCCCGCCAATCGGAAATGGCGTCTCAAACCCAGAAATCCGTTTTCTTAACCTAAGGATGGCTTATCCGTTTAGCCTATAAGAAGGAAGAATTTGCAAGAATTCTCCAATCACCTGCAGGGGTGGGGAATTAACTCTTCTGTGTGTCAGGAGCGCACGTGATGCTTGCAGGCGGGACAACCGGGAATAAACGTCAACCTCGATGAAGCCGTACCAAAAATGTTGTCAGAGTCTTTGAGAGGCGTGCTCTTGAACCAATGCAATGCACGGAACGGGTCCAACGGAAGGCCAGAGACGTTTGTTGTGGGCGTGTTGGGAACCTGATGGGCCAATAGTGATTGGACTGAGTACCTAATTGACATCATCCGTTGCCAATCAAATTAATGTATTTTAAGTCAGGCCGCTTGGGTGCCAAAGTCTGAGACCAATAAGAAAACACCGCAGGAGGCGGGGGAGGGGGGGAAATTCCCGTTAGGATAGTATTTGGCAGCTGGTTTTTTTTTTTTTAAATATAAGATTTTTATTGATTTTCAAAGAGATACAGAATAAAGAAAAGGTTAAGGTTAAAGCGTGTTATATTACTAATAACATTTTGCAGTATTGTATAAGTTTCAGTGTTTAATTTGTTATTATCTTAACTTTTAAACTAATTGCAACTGGTGATGGAGTTTTGCTAACTTTCTCTAAAAGCAACACATCAACATATCAGCAGCTGGTTTGATGAATGGGAATTGAAGGGTGGACTCCCGTGGGCACCAGGGCACCCAATGGGAAAAGAGTTCTCGGGACGCGCCTGAAACGTTGCTGCCAAGACATTGGCCAAAGTTCCAGCATCCTTTGCACTCGTGGCATACCTTTTAAGCAATGTTCCCTCCAAGCTGTGGAGTCCTGTGAGCAAAAATTCTACTTTGTGAGCTACTGGCACTGAAGTTGTGAGCAGGTGATTTGGCTACTGCATAAATTAGTTTGTTCTGGAGCCATCTTTCCTGAGCAAAGACAAAAATGTGTGAGCCGGAGGCTAAAAAACTGTGAGCTAGCTCACACCAACTCAGCTTAGAGGGAACACTGCTTTTAAGTCTGATTGGCCGTATTTGCAGTGGGTGAAGGATGGCAGAAGTTGTTCTGCACTGAGGGGGGGGGGAAGAAAGTTTAAAACGGGTGAAATACCAGGAAATATTTTCCTTCTCCATTCAGTCTGTTTTTGTTTTGTAACGCTGCTCGGACATCACACGCGAGAGGTGGAATTTGCCACTAGGCGTCCAAGGCCACCACCCCAGGGCTCAGGGAGGCGGGGGAACGTTTCTCCCCCCCCCGGCGGCCATTGCAGCAGCCGCTGACAGTGCGGCGGCCATAACTTTTTAAAAAATTCTTAACGAGAGCAGGGGGAGCCAGAATGGCCTCTTGCGTGTGATGTCCGAGCGGCTTGAACATCACACGCAAGAGGTGGAATTTGCCACTAGGAGTCCAAGGCCACCATCCCGGGGCTCAGGGAGGCTGGGGAACGTTCCCCCCCCACGGCCGTTGCAGCTGTCGCCATAACTTTTTAAAGAGCCCCTAAGAAGCTGGGGGAGCCAGAATGACCTCTCGCCTGTGATGTCTCACGTGATGTGATGTCTCGCATGTCACATCACACGTGAGAGGTGGAATTTGTCCCTAGGAGTCCAAGACCACAACCCAGGGTTCAGGAAGGCGGGGGAACGTTTCATCCCCCCGCGGCCGTTGCGCCTGGGGAACGTCCCCCCCCCCTCCCGCGGCTGTTGCAGCTGCCACTGACAGTGCGGCGGCCATAACTTTTTAAAGAGCCCCTAAGGAGCTGGGGGAGCCAGAATGACCTCTCGCCTGTGATGTCTCACGTGATGTGATGTCTCGCATGTCACATCACACGTGAGAGGTGGAATTTGTCCCTAGGAGTCCAAGACCACAACCCAGGGTTCAGGAAGGCGGGGGAACGTTTCATCCCCCCGCGGCCGTTGCAGGCAGCTATAACTTTTTAAAGAGCCCCTAACGTGAGCTGGGGGAGCCAGAATGACCTTTCGCGTGTGATGTCCGAGCGGCGTTGCCATTGGACATCACATGCGAGAGGTCATTCTGGCTCCCCCAGCTCTTGGGAGGGGCTCTTTAAAAAGTTATGGCTGCCTCTCGCTGTTCTCGGTGACAGCTGCGATGCCCGCGTGGGGGGAGGGGTGGGGCGAAACATTCCCTTGCCTCGGGGTGGTGGCCATGGACTCCTAGGGGCAAATCCCACCTCTCGCATGTGATAGCGCCACTCGGACATCACACACGAGAGGTCATTCTGGCTCCCCCAGCTCTCAGGAGGGGCTCTTTAAAAAGTTATGGGCCCCATCACTGTTCTCGGTGGCAGCTGTGACACCCGCGTGGGGGGGAGGAGTGGGGCGAAATGTTCCTTTGCCTCCCTGAGCCCCGGGGTGGTGTCCCTGGACTCTTAGGGGCAAATTCCACCTCTCGCATGTGATGGCGCTGTAACACAACCCCAAAACAGCGCAATAGCGACCCCATTGGGATGCCTGGACCACTGAGATACATGAGATCACTACATCTGCCACCTGGAAACAAGTGGAAGCTCAGGCACACACAAACACACACTTCTGGATCAGACAATCAAATCGCCCAATAATCAGAAGCTTTGCTGGGCAAAAGTCCTACCTGGCCCCACCTACTTCCCAGGAACACTTGGCAGGTGCCAGAAAAGGCGTCAGCAGGCATCATGGAGACCACTGCCCTAGAGAGTCACCATAAGTCGGCTGCGACTTCACAGCAGTTTACACCCCCACTACTGGTATCCAAAGTGTCTGTGTTTGCATCGCTCAAGGGAAGCTTGGTGTGCCTTGAACAACTGTAGTTGGAAGGCATTCAACAGGTCTAGCTTTCCCCCAGCAGTATTCTAGGCAAAGCGTTCCGTGCGCCTTGGTGTTTAGTCATGCCGGCCACATGACCACGGAAACGTCTTCGGACAGCGCTGGCTCTTTGGCTTTGAAACGGAGATGGGCACCGCAACCCTAGAGTCGGATTCGACTGGCTTTCGAGCAAGGGTACCTTTTATTCTAGGCAAAACTGCACCACTGGGATCCTTCCCACGTAGCTGGAGGAGTGTTTGGTATTGTTTGCAGAGCCTGTTTCATTCCCAACCTGGGAGAAACAGAGGCGCATCTCTGGGCTAACAGAGTATCGTCTTCCATCTTGGGCATGTGCCGGGGAGTAGGATGTGTCAGCTCAGCGCGGGTGGCTGTAAAAGACCCAGAAGGGGTCCCACCTACTTCCCAAGAACACTTGGCAGGTGCCAGAAAAAGCATCAGCAGGCATCATGGAGACCACTGCCCTAGAGAGTCACCATAAGTCGGCTGCAACTTCACAGCAGTTTACACCACCACTACTGGTATCCAAAGTGTCCGTGGTTGCATCGCTCAAGGGAAGCTTGATGTGCCTTGAACAACTGTAGATGGAAGGCATTCAACAGGTCTAGCTTTCCCCCAGCAGTATTCTAGGCAAAGCATTCCGTGCGCCTTGGTGTTTAGTCATGCCGGCCACATGACCACGGAAACGTCTTCGGACAGCGCTGGCTCTTTGGCTTTGAAACGGAGATGGGCACCGCAACCCTAGAGTCGGATTCGACTGGCTTTCGAGCAAGGGAACCTTTACCTTTTATTCTAGGCAAAACTGCACTACTGGGATCCTTCCCACGTAGCTGAGGAGTGTTTGGTATTGTTTGCAGAGCCGGTTTCATTCCCAACCTGGGAGAAACAGAGGCGCATCTCTGGGCTAACAGAGTATCATCTTCCATCTTGGGCATGTGCCGGGGAGAAGGATGTGTCAGCTCAGCGCGGGTGGCTGTAAAAGACCCAGAAGGTCAGAGTAGCCTGAGCTGAACTGGCAGTTTCCTTCGGTGCACTTTTCTCTAGCTTAGCAATTTCTCTCCAGTCTGGGGGGAGAGGTCCGAGTTTTTTCCCTTCACCCTTCTTCACCTCCCCGGCGTTTCCCCCCAGTTGCTGTGTCCTTTCCTATTTTCTCTGTGCCCTCTTCATGTCTCTCCTTGTTCTTAACAACCCTTTTCTGCTTCACTCTGTTCAGTCTCTCCACTCTGGTTGCCAATAGGCCTGGTGAAAAATATCCTGGAGCCTTTTCTTTTAAACTGGAGCTTAATGGGCAGGAATGGGCAACTGAAACTTCGCATTACCTGGTAAATAACGCCCCTTTAAGCCTCTGTTAAAGGGACAGGACATTTTCGCTCCAGGTAAATTGGCAATCATCACCACCACCACGCCTTTCTCTGGAGCTGTGAAGGTGAAGGTCAAGGTTCCCTTGCTCGAAAGCCAGTCAAATCCGACTCTAGGGTTGCGGTGCTCATCTCCGTTTCAAAGCCAAAGAGCCAGCGCTGTCCGAAGACGTTTCCGTGGTCATGTGGCCGCAGGTAAATTGGCAATCATCACCACCACCACCCCTTTCTCTGGAGCTAGAAAGCCCTTTAAATATAGGTACATTGAATAGGATTCAGGCTCTCTCCCTTTCCCCTCCACCCTTCTTCCTGTCTTTCATCACAGTTCGGCTGACATGGAAATAAAATTTTGTCAGTCCTTGGCGTCACAAGTCTTCTCTTTATTTTTACGCCCTGTCACGGTATCGCAGCCCAGTTCCACTATTGCTGAATACCACAGTCTTCCTTCCCCTCTTTCAATGCCATCTCTAGACACTGTGTTTGTG